GACAGCGAGCCAGCGCTTCAAACAAACACACACTCACACACTCGTCCTCCAGCAGCACAAACCACTGAGAACGTGTGCGTGTGTGTGTGTGTGGCATCTTGTAATGATTCTCTCCATCGCAGCCTGCAGTGCTGGGAAGGTTACTTTGGAAACATAATAGGATACAGATTACAAGTTACCCTATTTAAAATGTAACAAGTAGTGTAACTATTTCAGTTACTTTAACGCTCTGGTCCTCTTCGTTTAGCCTCCTTCGCGGTCAAAAGTGGCCGAAGCCTTGCAATGTAACTTTTTTTTTTCTCTCAGGAAAATCAATGTAATATAATTTTGTTCAATAATTTTTTTTTATTATCATTTATGATTTTGAGGGAATTTTATGATACTATGCAATATTTATACAATTTTAATTAGCTATTTTCTCCATTACAATTAACATATATATTTTTTATTTCTTTACTATTTTTTAATAAATGCAATATTTCACATTAAAATAGAGCGAAGGCATTTAAAATCCATTTTTTGAAGTTAGAATTGGGCCATCTGGAGGCATTAAATGATAAAAATGGTGTAATGTTGCGTAACCTCTTGTATTAGCGCCCTATATAGATAAATATACAGAGGCTTTTGAATTCCCGTTGTTTTTTAGACATAATTTCTTATTTTTTTAGGTTTTGCATTTAGATATATATCTAGACATTATAAAAGACTACTTTTTGTCAAGGTTTAGATATTGTTGGTTAGATAATTATCAGGTTTTACATTATGATTACAATCAAACATTAAAATCTTGTTAGAAAGGGAACACATAGAAAGCATTTTTGTTACTCAGTATTTGACCATTTAAAAATCTAACAAAATAAGGAATGGATAGTGATAATTCAAAACACTTTATACAAAATATTGTAATGAATTGATATTTTATTCAATGTAATTAAAGTTAAATAAAGATTTAAAATCATAACGAGATGATACTGTTTTTGAAATCAAATCTTTGCATAGCTATGACAGAAAAAAATTAAATAAATAAATAAATAAAATAAAGCATATACATAAACCCAAATAGGAAATAAAACAGTTACTGTATCTGAAACATTAGTGTCTCATATTTTAGAGCAGTTGATGCAATTTAAGAAAGAAATCAATTAAATCTGTATGTGTGTGAAAATATTCAGATGCAACCCCTTTTGTAATCATTAACATTTTCATAAGTAACTAATTTAATTACACATTTTTTCTTAGTAGCTGTAACTGATTACAGTTACATTTATTTTGGGCAACACTTTATTTTAAGGTGTCCTTGTTACAC